CGGAAGCTGCGCGCGGAGCAGGACGTCGTCGGCGGCCACCCGCGCGCCCTGGCACGCCTCGACGGAGGCTAGGGCCGCCAGCTCGCCGACGGGCAGCGCGGCGCGCACCGCCTCCAGGGGGCCCGCCGCCGCCGCCGCCGCCCCCAGCGCGACCAGAGGGAGCCCCAGGGAAGCCGCCGCCGCCTCGGCAGGCGGGCCGAGGCCCGCGCCTGCCGCCGCCGCCGCCGCTGCACCCGGAGCAGCCTCCTCCGGCAGCGCCCGCCGCCGGCCCCGCCTCCTCCGCGACCCCCGAGAGGCGCGAGGATGCAGGCCGTCGGCCCACTCGTCGTTCAGGGACCCGCCCATCGCGTCGTCGTCGCCGCCGCTGCCGGCGACCCAGCGGGGCCCAGCAGCGGGACCGCCTCCGCGAAGAGCAACTCCCCGAACTTCATGACCAGGAGCGCCCGCCCCGCCCGCCGCGCCCGCGGCAGGGGCCACCGCCTCAGGGGGGGGCACCAGCCGCAGCGCGCCGCGCCGCCAGCCTCGCCCGCCTCCTCCGGCGTCGCTCCTTCTTGGTGTCGTTGGGTTCCCGAGGCGCAGCCGCCACTGCAGGCGCAGGCCGCGCCGCGGCGCCTGCCGCGAAGGCAGCCGCCGACAGCGCGGAGCGCGCCACCGCAGCAACAGTGCGCCGAGGAGCCCCCGCGTCCACGGCACCTCGGACCGCCGCGCGCACCAGCAACGCGAGGTCCTCGGCGGCCGTGCAAGCCCCTCTAGCCGCGCGCAGGCCAGCCATCCCGAGACGGACGGCCGAGGCGGAGGCGCGGCATGCGACCGCTTGTGCCAAAATGACGCCACTGGGGCCTTCGGTGCAGCTCCCTATGGGGCCACGAAACGTGTGAGGGGTGTGCCGAATTGGGTGCGGGTGGTGACGCATGCGGGCGTTGCCACTCGGGCCTTCGGTGGAGCTCCCTATGGGGCCACGGAACATGTTGTTGTGAGGGGGCGTGCCGGGATGGGTGGCGGGGACGCATGTGAGCGCGGCCGCTGGGGCCTTCGGTGGAGCTCCCTATGGGGCCACGAAACGTGTGAGGGGTGTGCCGAATTGGGTGGGTGTGGGTGACGCATGTGAGCGCCGCCACTGGGGCCTCCGGTGGATGGGGCCACGAAACCTGTCAGGGATGTGCCCAAATGGGTGTGCGGGACGCATGCGCATGTGAGCGCCGCCACTGGGGTCTTCGGTGGAGCTCCCTATGGGGCCACGAAACGTGTGAGGGGTGTGCCGACAGAATGGGGGTGTGCGTGACCGCCTGTGGGCATTGGCAGCATTGGGGCCTCGGGGGAGGGCCAGCTTTCCCTTATGGGGCCACCCCCAAACGTGTGAGGGGTGTGCCGAATTGGGTGTGCGGGACGCATGCGGGGGCGGCAGCACTGGGACTTCGGTGGAGTCTCCCTATGGGCACACGGAAACGTGTGAGGGGGTGCGATATTTGGTTTGTGCGGTGACGCATATGCGCGAGCAGGCACTGGGGCCTTCGGTGGAGTTCCTATGGGGCCACGAAGCGTGTGAGGGGGTGCCGAATCGGGTGTGCGTGACGCATGCGGGCGGCCGCACGGGGCCTCGGTGGAGTCCCTATGGGGCCACGAAACGTGTGAGGGGTGTGCCGAAATGGGTGTGCGGGACGCATGCGGACGGCAGCACTGGGGCCTTCGGTGGAGCTCCCTATGGGGCCAC